ATTAATTATATATACATACATTATATATCGCCACATTTTTCATGTATAATATAATCAATGCATTCACCGTGACATGATCTATATATTGTTTTTTTTCTTAAATTGTGGGTACAATGTTTATAAACTGCATTTTTTTGCCTTATGTTATTGTTCTCATTAATTTAGATGCTGAACTGGACTCTGTGGATTGATTATGATCCCCTGATGTTTGTCATTTTCTATATAATCATTGAGAAACAAAGAATCGTTACACTGATGAAGGCAGATAGCCAAAATGCCTGCTTTTATCTCCTGCTCTAACTTAGATGTAAAAAAAAGTTAGCGTGCAGACCAATCTTTGTAATGTATAATATACAAATTCAACACTAATTTAATGTAGGTTTAATTTAAATTCAGTATTATATAATATAATTTAATAATAATAATAATAATTTTGTTCTCTGAACCAAATTGTGAAAAGTTTTTGTAAATTTTAGGGCAATGTACAAGCTAATGTTTTTGTTGCAAGATAATTACTAATAAACTAATACTTGTATAATACTTGCATGTAATTTGTATTTATTATATATAATTAATTTAATAATGCACTATATTTATTGTTGTGTGTGTGTGTGTGTGTGTGTGTGTATATATATATATATATATATATATAAAACCAGTATGCCAGTTTTATGTATATTACAATGCTAATTTAATGTATTATTAAATTTAACATAAAGCTTTATTTAAATGTAATATTATAAAATATAATACAATAACTTTATTTACATTGATATATATATATATATATATATATATATATAAAATGTGTATTAATAATTAATGCTTAAAATATGACGAAAATAGACTCAAAATACATAATTTTGTATACATAATTGTATTCAATAATAATAATAAAAAATACATGAATTTACATATATAACATATGTATTAACATTATGTAGTGCTAATTACAAACATCAAACTACATTCAGCAATGTAAAAAAGCAATGTCTCTGCAATATTAAAATAACAAAAAAATGCTCAAATAGCACTGTCAAACAATATGGGTATTTAACTGTGATTAAACAGGTAAAAAGGAAACTACTGACTTACTTTGCCGACGCTGTCATTGCATGATGTTTGACCTCCAGCTTTTCTATCCTCCTCAAACTCCCTGACTGCTCCTCCATGCTGATCAGTGAGCCAGGCTGGGAGGGTCGTCTTCCTGCAACAAACTCCAGGCTCGGCTTCCGTATGCGTCTCTGCCAGGACACGTTCTCTGATTGTTCTTGAGCACCAAAACCCCCCTCTCTCGGCTTGCAGAGGGTCCTCTGAAGGGTGTGCTTCTCTAACTCCATCCTGTTTCTCTCTGCAGGAGCATTGTGTGGGGTGTTGGGTAAAAAAACGTCATCTGTATCATCAATGTCATTGTTCTCATACAGAGGCTTACTGGAGGGCTGTGTGACAGCCGACAGGCCTGCGAACCTCGGGTTTCGCAGAACCTCGGAGTGGGCGTAACGTAAAGTTTGTTTGTTCATATGAAAACGGTTGACTGTAGGGGCCGAGGGGAGAGTGAAAGAATTGGACCCCCAGCATAAAGCCGGCCTTTTAGAGGTGAAACGAAAGCTTCCATAGCCTCTGTGAAATCGAGGTGGCTCGGTACTTGACCATTGAGATCGATCAACCATCCGTGACAACCTTGTGGCTTCATGATTGATGGAGAACGTCCGCTGCAAAGTATAGTTCATGTCATTATCTCAAGTGAATCAAGTTAGTGATATTATTAAGTTATTAAGTTAGTGATACTAAGGATTAGTTCACCCAAAAAAGCATAGAAATAAACGAATACTTTAGTCCATTTCTGACACGAACCCATCAAACGGCGTCAGAAGCTGTAGATTATAGTGCAACTACATTTATGCTACTTTTAAGGTGCTTTTGTCATTTTTTGGAACCGGAAAGCTCTAGTTACCATTCATAGATTATAGTGCACAAATTGTACAAACTACTTTTATTCTACTTTTAAGGTGTTTTTGGTCAGTTTTTGGAACTGGAAAGCTCTACCATTCACTTTCATTGTATGGCAACAGAATTTTCATTTTTGGGTGAACTATCCCTTTAAAAACAACTTTTATCCCACTGGAAAATTGTCCTTACCTTCAGGTGCACACTTCCTAACGATGAACTACTTGAAATATGACAGCTGGACAGACTGTCTGAGAGAGATGACTCTGCAATGCCCAAAACACACACAATTGGAAAATATATTCTTCATGATCGCTTACAAATCCTACTAAATACGTCTGAATGAGTGAGCTCTGACAAACTAAGGTAGGGTTCACCTTTCTCAACTAACAAAAAGGTACCAAATTTGTTTATTTGCAATATTGTTATTACATTTATTAGATTGAATACATAGTTATTACATTATAATAATTTATTTATAATTTATGCATTTAGCAGACGCTAAATATTTTGTTATAGCTGTATATGGACTATTCCATAGTAGTGGCATAGTAGACTATTCCATGAAGTACTATGTAAATATTCGGTACAAGAATATAAGTCATAGCTACAATCACGTATAATCAATCAGTACCGTGGTGGTATAACTTACATCAAAGTCACTTTGATTTCACACTGATACCATGGTAGAACCAGTCATTTTTGTAAAGATTTAAAAAAAAATTAAGGTATAAATTAATATGATTTTGCATTTTACACACAAATAAAATATAAAATAGCCAATGGATAGAGTTAAGAACAAATGACCATTGCAAGCTGACCATAAACATTTGACTGACATTCCGTATTTTTTCCAGAGATGTAAAAATGTATACACCTATATTCTATTCCAAACCAAAACACTGCTTCTTTTGATATATTTGCTTTTATTTCATGCAGTTTCATTCCACATACCTGGCGGGTTTGGTTTCTTTCTTTTCCGTGAGAGAGTGAGCTGCACTTGTTGCTGCAGTCGGTTCAGCCGGTGTGTGTCCGCGAGAGCGAGTTTGTCATCCTGCGGTAAAGCTAAAGAAGAGTCTTCCGAGCGAAGAGCGCCCTGCACGGGCAACACAGAGCGCATGAAGTCTGCCTCCTCCGCCATCGGGACTGGTGCGGATGAAGCGTCAGGTGTTTGAGTCTCTGTTGGGCGTGTAGTAGCAGCGCTGTGCTTGTTCTGTGTTCAGGGTGTGGTGTACACATGAGTCACTTCACACAGATCGTGTTTCTGCATATTCACCGGCTGCGCGCGTGAAGGTGGACAAACACTTTCACTGTGGACTGGACTAAAGCTGGGGAATAGTTGGCACTTTGCATTGAAGTGTGGACTCAGCATTATTCATTTTAGCGCAGTAACAATAAACTTTAAAATAAAAAAGACCCCCCCCCCCATGACCATGAAGCCCCTCCCACAACAGCGACGTCATAATCGAAAGTTTGTACAGGTGAAATACTACCACGGTAACCATTCTGCCAACATACAACATTTATTGTTACCACAGTTTTATTTATACAGTCCACTCTTTTATATTCTCATAGCTATCACACAACCAAGAGTGCTGCTGTACTGAATATTGTTATAGATTAGCGGTTCTCAACCAGGGGCCCGGGGGGCCACTAGGAGGCCTCAAAAATGATTTAAAAAGATTGATTTAAAATAAGACAAAACAAGCGAAAACAACCACATTTCTTATTTTAATTAACTTCCTCTAGAACTCGAGCTTAACTAAAGAGTTTGAACAAACTTTGAGGTTGGCTTAAGAAGCCTAACCTGACAGTTTAAAGCAATTGTAAATTTGAAAATTTAGATAGATAGATAGATTAGAAATATTAGGTAAACTGATATTATTAGTAGAACCTAATAACCTATTAAAACAGCATTAAATATGCATTGTGAATAAACAAATCCTTTAATCCTTGGCCAGTAAATCACGAATGACTGGAAAAGTTATGCAGCCTACATACACTGATTTAAAAGAGACGGCTCCCTGAAGAACATTCATCACTTCAAACTTTTGGAATTCTGAAATAATTCCTTGTAATGATAATTATTTTAATCTATAACACTCTAAATTTCTGTAAATAAAAAAAGTCTTAAAAACAAAACGCTCATTTGAATATTGTTTGGATATTGAGGGGGACCTTGAAGTAAAAAAAGGGTGAAGAAGATTATTGAGTCCATATACATGAATTTATTGTCTGTGTATTTTATGTAATTTTTTATTTATTGTGTCAGTGATGGAGTTTATATCGTGTTTGATTTTTTTAATTTACTATCATTTTAATTCGTTTTAGCCTACTGGAAAACATTGAGTGATGCCCAATAGATGATTACCATTGGATCATTTAACACACAAATACAAAGGCACTAGCAATACATTTAACCAACAGAGGGCGATATTGCAATATGCTTTTATATCGTAAAAATATTTTTTATGATACATAGCAGATTTAAGTCAAATGAGCAAGGATATTCAAAGCGTGATATAAATGCAAAAAAAATCATAATCAAATAATCAATAACAGCTAGTAGTAGCAGTAGTAGAAAATTAATGTCTGATATGAATAAATGGTAAAAAAAAAACGCGCAATATTTTGTAACAGCTATATTCTGCCTGGCACATTTCAAACACGTTTTTAAATATAGGCTAAAAACATTTGACTTCAATATATATTAAAAAAAAGGAAAGAAAAAAAAAGTCTCATAAAATAGGTTCTGCTGTATTTGAAAATGTGGCATTTGGAAAGCTTCGTTTGCTTTCCTCACGATCGAGAACAAACACTTTTACATATTTATTGTAATTATTGTGAAACAAATCAGAAATAGACTGGAAACAAAGCAGCTAATCGCCTATTGTCTATTTTTCATTGACGATCTGATCATATTTGTACTTATTTATAAATTCGTATGAAAAATCTTTGCTTATTGATTTATTTTTGCTGGTGAATCATAACATTTAAAAGACACGGCTTACAGCACTGCACGCTCCTTCCCAAACAAATACTTGAGGCGAAACATTTGCGAGCTCTCGATTGGCTGAGTGTGATCAGCTGAAGCGGCGCGTCAGTGCGCTCTTGAAGCAGCTACAACTCACACAGCCGCAGCAGCGGACGCTCTCCAAACCAAATTATACCTACATAGACTGCTTTCCGAAGCTCACCGTACAAAAGTTAAGCCATTAGCTTTCATTAAAACGGCGCTTTGATTTCATTTGCCTGAGGACGCTGGGTATGGAGTTGGTTGGGTCTGTATAACAGACGCGGACAAAGCGGATCAGCTCGAGCCGAGATGAGCGCGACTATGAGCGGCTCTGGGTCAGCGCCCTGCCGCTTCACACATTACTTCGTTATATGCGGAATAGACAACGAAACGGGTCTGGAGCCCGATGCTTTGGCAGGTAAGATTGAGTTATTGTGTATTATACATTGTAGCGTGGTTGTAGACGCACTACAGCAGGTATAATAAACACGAGCTAACGTGCACTGATTTAGAAGCCAGGCTGCTTGAATCGTTATCCTTCTGATATTAGGACATTCAAATACATTTAATGTATTAATATGCTTGGTTGGGAATAGCAGACTCTGATTTGACAAGGGACCCTGAGAAATTAGAGAATTGCAGTGATTTTTGAGACCTGGCATAGAATTTGCTACAAAATACAGATATCAGTGAATTGTATTGGATTAATGTTTAAAGTGTTCAGGTTTTCACCTATGTTTGTGTTCAATCTTTGTGTTCAGTTTTCTGACAAAATGTGTGTTTTTCCTTGCATACCGCTCAATTGATCAAAAGATACAAAAATAACGTGGCAAACGTTTCTCACAAAGCTGACAATTATAACATTAAATCCAATGTATTGAGACCACAAGATAGTTTCATATTCAGTTTCAGCATTTTAAGTCAGGCAGGTCATATTGCAGTTGAGAAAATAAGCATATTCTTTGCATATCACACATTTATTAAATGCAGTAGCCATTTTGTTTTTCTGATATTGCTGGTTTACTGTATACTAGGAAATAGTTTCTTTGTGATGAGGAAAAATATCTCAAATATTACCTTTACAATTTGTGACAGTGCTGACATGATGGTTCAGACAGAAAATATGAGCACAATCACTTACTATTATGACAAAAATGTAAACAGAGCCTGTGTAACCTTAATTAAACCCATAGCACATATAGTATCCTAATATTTATTATTATGTTACATAACATGTTCTTTAGACTCTCTCCTCATCCTATACTACCAGCTATAATTCTATTTTCTACTACCAGCTATAAGAGTATTTTCGTTCTGTGTATTTTTTTGTTGCATTTACTATTCTTTGTTTGTTACTTATTGACACTATACTTTTTCTGTTATTACTTATACTATGTTATGTATCTCTGTTTCCAGTGCATAATTGTACCATGATATGCAACTGCAATATCTGTCCACTGTCCAGTTAATTTGATTAATTGATTGTGAAATTACTGTTTATGATTATGTGAATCGACTGTCTATTGTGTTACTGCTATTGTACAGTGTCCTTGAGCTTGGGAAAGACGCTATATAAATTAAACATATTATTATGAAATTAAACACATTATTATTATTATTTAATTAGATATAGATGTACGTAGAGATCGAGAGATGGATGGATAGATAGATGTAGATGATATTGTTTGATCATAGATAAATCAATTTAATCCCTAATTACCTAAATTAAGAAAAGAACATGAAATCAATTATGTTCCCTATCACCCAACGTTCTCTGAAACCCGCTGTATCTGTTAGACGAGGGATTGGATCAATTCAGTGTTTAAAGTTGCCTCAAAGCATCAATAAATACGATCATCATCATCCTCATATTGACTGTCTGAATATTTTTGGTTGTCTCATAGTGGTGTCAAATCCTTGCCTGGTATCTGATGATATCTCTATAAATGGGCTTAATTGTATTGTTGGCATCCTGGGGGAACATCTAATAATAGTGGTCACTGAGGAGAGAAAGCTAAATCAGATTATTTAATTAGATATAGATGTACGTAGAGATCGAGAGATGGATGGATAGATAGATGTAGATGATATTGTTTGATCATAGATAAATCAATTTAATCCCTAATTACCTAAATTAAGAAAAGAACATGAAATCAATTATGTTCCCTATCACCCAATGTTCTCTGAAACCCGCTGTATCTGTTAGACGAGGGATTGGATCAATTCAGTGTTTAAAGTTGCCTCAAAGCATCAATAAATACGATCATCATCATCCTCATATTGACTGTCTGAATATTTTTGGTTGTCTCATAGTGGTGTCAAATCCTTGCCTGGTATCTGATGATATCTCTATAAATGGGCTTAATTGTATTGTTGGCATCCTGGGGGAACATCTAATAATAGTGGTCACTGAGGAGAGAAAGCTAAATCAGACCGTTTTGAGGACTCAAGATGTCAAAAAATGGGAAGAAAGAAGCGATTGTTTTTTTTTCTTATATAAATTATTATAATTGTTTATTTATTCACACACACACATACTATTTAAACTTGTGTTTTTGAGAGATGATGGTGGTTGGTTTGATTGATGTTATCATATTGGTCTTATCTTAAACATGCATCTTAAAGGTTATTGAACTTAAAGGTTTTAAAAGATATCACAAAGTACTGTGGGTCAAAGTGACTTGCATTGAGCAATCAATCAGTGCTGGGCAGCGCACGTGACGGTCACTACTGATCATTTTGATTTCAGTCACTCATACTGTGATTGGTATCAACAGATGACTCTCAAATGACTTAATATCAGATACAAGCCAAGCAGATCATGTACCTTGTGTGGTGAGTTTTTGGCACATGGAGTCTTGTGTTTGCACTAGTTGTCTTATATGCGATATGCACATTTCTTGTAACCTGATTTGTAAGCACAACAGCTTTTGCCAAGAGTGCAAGTGTAATTGTCAGAGAAAACATGTCTTCCAAAAGCAACTGCTACTTGTAATCCCAGTAGCCAGTCTGCGTGCTCTTACCCTGTTTTTCTCCAATCTTTGTCTGGCCTTGTTTTAACAGATGTGTTGATTGCTCTACCTTTTTAAGGCCTGGCAGTTTAACAGACTGCTGATGAACTGTGTAAAGAGCTAAGCTGCATGTGCGTGATGCTCCCGTGGATTAGTGTTGCTTTAAACCGAGAGAGTGCAGAGCGGGCCGTGTGGGATCACATCATAATGATAAACCTGCTTAGAGCTTCTATTTTTGCTTTCAACACAGATTTTTAGAGAAGTTTGGGAAATGCAAGTTAAACTCTTATCCACAGCTGCGAAATCTGAAATCCTTTTAGGTTTATACCGGTTTGTAAAAACTATGTGTTGATAGGATTCTGGTTTTAATTAGGCCTATATTGAAATTGTGGCTGATACAATACTACTTGATACAATCAGTTGATAAATGATTAATGGCCAACATTCAAATTCTGTACTATTTTCTGTAAGTAAATAAATACACTTAAATCTAAAATCAAGTGTTTTAAATGCAACAATTGAATTAAGGCATCAAAGCATTATTATAATGTACATGCATTATGAAAAACATACTTTTTTGAGATTTTCTTAAAAGGATAAATTTAAGTCTTAATAGTGTTTTTATAGATTTAATGCTTTGAATATTAGATGATGGCATCATTATTATAAACGTAAAAACAGAAGGAAGGTATATGCACAGTTAAATATCAGATGTTGACAAATATCAAAAAAGGGGAAACTGAGACATTTGTGATATTTTAGTATTATTTAAATACTAGTGTAGAATTTATTTAAAAATATTTTTATTTATATATTCATTTTTGGGGTGATTTAATTTTTATTCATTTTCTATATTTCTACATAGCTTTGCTTATTTCAGTTTTAGTTTGACTAATTTTACATCAACTTTGTAAACAAAACAATTTTCATTTAAGTTTTTCATCTAATATTTAGGCCTATATTTTATTTTATTTAATCTTATTTCCCTTAATTATTTGTGATCGTTTTAGCACTGAATTGAGACCCATCTAGAGACTTTGGAGCATTAAGCAACCACATAGCCTTGTCGACAGCATCTTAACATCATAGCAGCACCACTCAAGAATATCTAAAAATCTGGTTTGTAATGTTTGTACAGAGAAAAAGCCTTTTCTCTTTCAGCGGATCCGATTTTTCGCAGTGAGATTGGTCTGGTTCCCCAGATAAAGTTCATCACGATTAAACAGTTTGAGCTTGATTAATTTACCACTGTGTGTGTCCAGTGCCATCAGTGCTTGGATTCTATCAGCGTCCCGGGTTGCTCAGATAAGCCATGTGAACTCACACTGTGTGTAGCATTGTGAGATGCTTCATGTGAGATCTATGTACAACATGACCTTTGTTGAAGATTATCCTACTGTTCTTGTTTGATCAATATCAAGTGTTTTGAAAAGCCCCCTCACCCCACCCCATAGCACCTGTGTTCTCTGGTGGCCTAGTTTCTAAAGGTTAGCTTTGGTTGCACCTCCTGTGAGAAGATGAGAACGCTCATTTGTAATTCAAACCACTTGAAGATGGAAAGAGCGAGAGATTGTTTTCCTGATATATTTTTGGCCCTGTTTCCTCGCTTCCATTGTTCAAAACACACACTTCCTGCTGGAGACCTCAGCGTGTTTCTGCATGACTGAATGTGCTGCCGTCCAATCCCAGAGGAGCCCTGCACTCATACGACCGATCTCCCCCTTCCCTGGGCTTTTCCGCATAATCATCTCTGCTGGTCGCCCTTTCACTGGACTGTTTGTGTGCATTCTGTTTCTTGTTTTTATTTAAGAGGCTGTTTTGACTGTGTCAGGGTTAATTGAAGTGATCTTTCATTACACAAATGCACTGTGGCCCCTCGATTGGTGTCATTTGGAGTTGCCGTGCCTCCTTTCCTTGATGGCAGAGGCTTGTTAATTATGTGGTTGCGCTCTGCTCTGATTACTACAGTTGCCATTTTTCGAGCCAATGTGTCATCCTCTGTGAAGCCAAATTGTAGTAGACTGTTTCCACCTCACAATTTTAAAAGAATGTTATTGCATCTTTATCTTGCAGTGCAAGTAGTTTTGTTTCTCATAGTTGCGACTTTATATCTCACAATGCGACTTTTATATCTCGCAAATGGAACTTCTATTTTGCAACTTTTTATCTAGCAAAGTTATTTTTTTTCCGCAGTATGGCTTTCTATCTCGTAATTGCCACTTTTTATCTCGTAAGGCAGCTTTGTTTCTTTTAGTTGCACCTTTATATTCAAGAGAAATTGCAAATTCGTCTAAAAAGGAGGCTTTGTTTTTTGGACTTGTGACTTTGTTTCACAATGTGACTTTGTCAGGCAAGGTGACTTTTTTTCTTGTAGTTGTGTCTTTGTCTCACAATGTGACTGTCTCAC